TTTTCCAGTTGGGTATGTATACTTTTCTAGAGTGAAATCATGAGAAATAAATCCAGGTTCTTTCACCTACCATTTTTTTTTTTAACTTTGGGCGTGTTTCTTAAGTCTTGTCTTACTTCCTCATCTATAAAATGGGACATTATAAAGGACAGGCATGATGTCTCACACCTGTAATACCAGCACTTTGGGAGGCTGAGGCAGGTGAATCACTTGAGGCCAGGAGTTCAAGACCAGCCTGGCCAACACAGTGAAATCCTATCTCTACTGAAAATGCAAAAATTAGCTGGGTGTGGTGGTGTGTGCCTGTAGTCCCAGCTACTCGGGAGGCTGGGGCATGAGAATGGCTTGAACCCAGGAGGTGGAGGTTGCAGTGAGCTGAGACTGTGCCACTGGACTCCAGCTTGGGTGAGAGAGGGAAACTCTGTCTCAAAAAATAAATAAAATAAAATAAAATAGAATAAAATAAAATAAAATAAATAGGGACATTACAGTACTTACGCAGAATTAAATAAGACCATATTTATAAAGCGCTTAGAGTAGTACTTAATATATAGTAGTTCTCAGTAAATATCAGCTATTATTAACTAGAGGGATTAAAATTGTTTTAATGTTTTTGTGATAAGTCAATCCAACAGGTTTTAATTGTCCTCAGATGGTCCAGTTAGTCACATGGAAGGAATCTATGTGCACTGAGGGAGTTTGAACACTTAGAAGTAAAAAGTCACAGAAGAGTGTATGACTAACAGAAAATAGGTGAAATAATATAATTTCTACTAAAGGGGAAAAAGGAGTAGAAGGTATAGAAAATAATGTCACTCAAGAGTAAGTCCCTTGGAACAAAAGATAAAGAAGACAGAAACAGAAAAATGATGTCTCAAATCAATTTAGAACACAGTTGCAGTTTTGGGAGTCTGTGATCTAACTTTTGAACACATTAGCAACTTAAGTTGCCTTTTAATAAGATGAAATTGTAGGTATATTAGAGTAGCCTCAGCCATCTGGTTGATTTTAATAAAGGCTTCAATTTTATTTTATCCATGTAGGATAAAATAAAATTTTATTTTATGCCTCTTTTGTCCTCTTGTGGAAATAATTACACTGAAAATAAACTGTTAAAATAACAATAAGAAATCAACTTACACTTAGCATCAAATACAGATCCAAGACTAATAACAGGCTGGTATTTTCTCACTGAGACTCTCTGCAAGACTGAAAAATATGGCCCTGTTATATCTGCCTTTGGAAAGCGTCACCAAGGAATCTAAAAAAAGCCACTGTGAGAAGTAATTTGTTGGCTTCCTGACACATCAGGCTCATTATTGGGGATTCGAGTTTCAGCTTTTGGTCTATCTGCAATTTTTGGGTAGGTCAGTAATGAAAGCTAGAGAAAAGAATGACTATGAAATCAGTCTTAGAGGTTATTCACAAATTCTTTATGCCAATGTTATCGGGTGAGTGTTTTGTGTTTTCACATAGAGAAATCATAAAGCAGCCTGTCCAGGTAAATGAAGGGCAGCTTGGGTGGTCATCCCAAAACACATTTGACTATCCAAATCAGCAATGCAGCAATTAGTGCTCATAGCTCTAGACAAGTTATTATGACAGAAGAGTCTTAGAGGAGACATAAAAATTGAACGGATCGATATGAGGAAGAATTTTATATTCAAGATAAGATTTTACCAATTTTCAAAGCAAATGCTTAAAACCAAGCAGAGATAAATCAATGTACAGTAGTAATGAAAGAAAGTACCTAATTAAAAAGAGTTAAATAGATTAGTTTCTTCCCTTATGTTACAATTGTTTAAAATATGTTTTCCAAACACAAATATGTAACGATTTTATGATTTGTGAAATCAATGAGCTTTTGAAATGCTCTTGGCTTTGGCCAGAGTGCAGGGGTAAGGAAGGTGGGCAGTTCAGAAGGGCATATGCTAAAATCTTTAGGAATTAGTCCATAAAACCTCTATCAATTGGGCCTTTGTCAAAAGGGTGCAATACTACATGAGACTTGTTAGCTGACCACTGTAGCAGCTTCAGTCTGTTTCCAATTGGAAAGAAAAACATTGGTGTGCTTACAGAAAGCATTTCCCAGGTTGAAGGCACAGTCAGTCTACCACAATCTTTTCTATGTTCTTTTCTCGAATGCTCAAGACTTCTAAAAACATTTGGGTGTATACTTGGCATATTCAGAGTAATCAAATCTTACAAATATATGAAGTTTTGAGAGGTTTTAGCTACATTTCCAAACATCCATTCAGAACAGTTATCATGGACAGATGACAGATGCTATTCCTTTTTTCATTTTGTCACAGTAAATTAGGTTGAACAAGCGGACTACAGTGCTCACTTTAGTATTTTACCAGTTACATCAAGCATTTTCATGAACCTGTTGGACAGGCCTAGAAATAGTCTCAATAGTCATCTGGTACAGCTTGCTGTCTTTAGGAAGGTGATGTTTGATTCTTTAGTGTAGGTTAAATTTTACTGACCTCATACTGATAAGCCACATTTGAACATGCTTCACTATAACATCCATTCAGCTGGGCCATGGGTCAAACATGTACATTTAATAAAAGATTAAAAAAATTCATAGTTATCCTAACTGTAAGTACAAATGTAGACTTTGTTCTAATGGGGATTCATTATATATTTATCCGTGAAATTTTCTTCCAAAGCAATTAATTTACTAGAGGTAAAATATCTAAATAAAGAAAAGGTCTAAAGGGTTAACAAAACTGCAATTATGCCTAAACCATGTCATACTAGTACTTTTTTGAGACAGGATCTTACTCTTTTTACTCAGGCTGGAGTGTAGTGGCAGGAACATGGCTCACTGCAGCCTCAAACTCCTGGGCTCAAGTGATCCTCCAGTCTCAGCCTTCTGAGTAACTGGGACTACAGGTTCGTGTCACCATGCCCGGCTAATTTTTAAATTTTTGTAGAGACAGGGTCTTTCCATCCCAGGCTGGTCTTAAACTCCTGGGCTCAAGTGATCTGTCTTCCTCAGCCTTCCAAAGGGCTGGAATTACAGGCAGGAGTGACTACGCCAGGCATCATACTACATTTTTAAGGTCACTATTGATAGGTCCAAAGGCAAGTAAGATTACAGATAACATAACACCATTTTTAGAACTACATGTTATATCAAGACCTTCAAGGACCTGAGACAGGAAGACAAAGACCAAAGGACTAAGATGTGTTGATGTATTCATAGCTGAAAACAGCTATCAAAAGGCAGCAGACATCTGGGAAAAAGCTTTCTTTTTTTCATGGTGGCCAGAGATACATTGGCATTGCTTCTGGAATTGGAACAAAGCCAACTTTTAATTGGTTTTAAAATCTGGAATGAAACATTTTTCCAGTCATCCATGAACTGACCTTATCCTGTAGAAGTTGAGTGAATCTTGGCTAACCATCTGCCTTGTGAATTGTTTTGTTTGGGCCCCTTATGGGACAGAAAGTACTTGTTGTGCAGTAGTTTCACATCAAGTTACAGTCCTTTGTAATGCTGTCTGAGTAGCGAATTGAGAGAGAAAAAACCATGTCCAGGGAGAAAAATCTAATGCCTTCACTAATATGCCTTGGGGCTTTATGAACCTGCAAGGCTTGGAGTTACCACCTACTTTGCTCCATACCTTAGCATGATGGCTTCCAAAAAGAAGTAAAGCTTATTATTGGAGAAGATAGACAGCTGGACAAACAGACTGCATTCATGAGGGCCAAACAAGGTATTTTAAGATAGATTTAACTTAGAATTCCACTAGATTCACTATTGTAACACCAATGCCTCACACACAGCCACATTTCCATAAATTCTGGTTTAGTAAGTGGAGACTTTTGAGATGTGCATACTATGAAAGAAATATGGAATAAAGGATTCTTCTTAACAGTGTCCATGGATGGTGATACACTTTCTTCCTTAAATCCACTCTGACCCCACCATAGGGAACAGGAGTAAGGGAGGAAACTAAGAAGATCACTCAATAATTCCTGACTCCTAAAACAAAACAGAAAACCTATGCTAGCTGAAGAAGATAGCCTAAACTATTTTGTAAATTAAAAACCTACTTTTTCCGGTTGAAAATAGTTGAAATAAACAAGCCTCATCAAGAATTTGCAGTATTTGGGTTTGAATGGCTGCCTAAGAAGCGAGACAGACAAAAAAGCAAGAAAGCCAAATTTAGCTGCTAAATAATAATAATAATAGCTTTTATATATAGACTTTTCAATTTTGTAATACTTTTAAATATTACTGGGAAATGCCAGATCTTAATTCCAGAATGCTCTATGGCATCTTCATTAGGAAGTACAATTTCAAGCTGGAACCCAGGTGAATGATGTCTCTCAGAAACCATAGCAGCTAGGGAGGTGCAGAGATGTGCTATGTATTTGGGTATTTTGGGTTGGAGGGTGGAGGACTCATATTTTAGGGTGTAGAGCACTTTGTCCAGTCTACAGTTACCAATGCATTAAGTAAACCATACTTATAATCATTCTTGAAGAATGTTAATTGATATGCATTACCAGTACCAATGTATTGCCATCTATTCCAGCTGATCCAGAGCATAACCTGGTGTCATATTGTAGAGCAAAAAGGGTTTTTTATACTCACTGAAATCAATGTTCCCCTAAATCAGGGCAACACTGGAGAACCATGTATTTCCATATAAGTTAATTGATATAAGTGGGTATTCTAGAGCCAGATTGCCTGGCTAAAATTCCAGCTCTACCATTTAGTAGCTGTATGAATTCAGCAACTAACTTAGCCTCTCTTCACCTCAAATTCTTCAACTGTAAAATGGGGATAATAAAAATATCTACCTCATAATGCTGTGGAGTCAACATCAAATGAGTCAACATTTTCAAAACACGAGTGCCTGGTCCATGATAAGTACTCCATGGATGTTAGCTTTTAATATTAATCACATATTGCAAAACAGGAGATAGAAGAAAAGAATGTTGGTGTCATCAGTCCAGGTATCTGAGACTCTGATATTCACCTATAACACAGAAGGGCTTTCGAGCAAACCTCAGTCTTCCTTGCCATCCTCTATACCGACAACAGCAACCCGCAGACCAGATTCGAATGATGAACTCCAAACCAAAGACGACAATCATCACGAACTCCTAAAATATCAGATAAGACATATCAGAGAGAAGCATTATGAAGCAAACCACAGTAAGAAGCTCTATGGATATTTTTGGACATTTAGGCACTTTGTCTAAAAGATCTAGTTGTTAATATCTAAAGTTAAGAACATTTCCTTTCTCCAAATCAAACTAAATCTGGAGAGCATTTGAACCTCATACTGTCTGCATTTCCTATCATGGAATGCTCTTCCTTTTCAAGTCACTAATACTTTGCAAATTTGGGAGTCAGTTTCAATACTAAATGTGCAGGCTGAATAATGGATCTCTCTCGTCTGGAATTTATAGTGTAGCTGACTTTAGCTACCCAGTAACATGTGAAATATCCGAAATAAAATAGCGAATCCTGAAATATAATGGCAAGTTTTACAGAAAATAGAGCTTCATTTTGCTGCAAGGAGTGACATAATCTCCAAATCTTCGAGAGTTGTTCTCAGAGATAAAGAAGCAAATATTTAGAAGTATACTGAATTCTTTTGTTACAGTGTCAAAATCTCCTTAAAAAACAGTAAGTTTCAAAAGTATTACAGTGTGAGACACATATCCTTTGCCAGAAATGAGACCCTGAATCCTTCCGATCTGAAGCTTGTTAATTATTATGCTGCCCTTTGGCAAGAGCTGCCTAGAAAACAACACCTGCTCCAGGAAAATGACTGAGATTATTTAGGAAGAGTTGTGAGTTAACCCTGGGGAAAGGCCAGCTAAAGTGGCTCATTAAACAGTCAGTGATAGAATGAAAAACCAAATGGAATTTGTAAAACGAAAGCATTTCTGGAGCAAGCTTAGCATGGTCATCTTGTTGTCCCTATAGGAACAAGCACTTAATTTATCAAAATTGTTTTTCCTTTAAAAATAATTCCCTTTCTTGTTTTAAAGCAAGGGTTGATTCAACATTTATAATGTAGAACAATATTTATAGATTTTTATCATAATATCTTAATTGTAAAAGTAATATATTGTCTTTATTAAAACTTCCAAACATCACAGAAATAGAAAGCAGAGAAAGTAAACATTCTAACCTACTCCCCACTCTCCCATTCTACTCGCAGGATAAAAACTGTTACCAAATTTATAAAAGTGGCATTTTTGTTGCAAATTTCAGGCAAATGTCTGTTTCTTTAGTTAGAGCATGGGATGATATGCTGCACTTTTGAAAGGACTAGTAGAGCTATCATTCTATCCTTTTATTTTGCACTAAGTAATCCACAAATATTTCTCATGATGGGAAATAAATATCCAATATCATCACTGCTTACTCACCATTATTCAAAACTACTTATAGGATAAACCTTCAAAGATGACTTTATGCAGATAACCAAAACGAGGGTCAACATACACTCATTAATAATCCGAAGGTTTTGTCTGGTTTTGGCTTTGTTTTGGTTTTGAATGTATATCTGGCTAGTTGAGTCTGTTCCTTTATTAAGGTATATAAAGTGCCAGATCATTTGTTGTTAATCCAGCACATCTTTCCAAATACAGAAAACATACTCAAGCCCAAAATGCCCATGTAGTTGTGCCTGTGCCCAACTTAGGTTAAATGGCAGATCCACTTTTTAATCCCTGCCCCTAATTCCTACTTATGCCAGGACATTTGGAACGCCAGTTGTGAGTGCTCATATTATAAGGGATCCCAAGAAAATCCCAAATGTGGCCTGTGTCCCTGAACACTACTGTGTAGTAATTTTTGTTTTTCATGGAAACAGATGACACCAGTATGTCCACTGTTCTTAACAAATGACAGATGCCCATTGTTCTTAGGTATGTCAAGGTCACTGCACTATTCCTATGTTGCAGTAAGGCAGGATAAATTACATTTACAAGTTCTTTATTCAAGCCCTATTGTTCAGAAATATTGTTTGCTGGTTTTCTTTTTTAAGGAGGGAGGGAAAAATGACAGGAGAGTCTCAAAATTCATAAAGCGAAACTAATAGGGTTGAAAGGAAAAATAGACAAATGTTAAGTCGTATTTGGGGACTTCATTAACACACCTTATCCTTGCTCAGAACTATGGGCATAGAACTACTAGAAAGAAATTTAACAAGTATGTGAACTATCTGAACAACACATTCAACCTACAGGATCTGACGGATATGAGACATTTCACCTAACATCAGCAGAATACACATTTTTAAAAAGCATCTATGCACATTTATTAAGATAGATTATGTTCTGGGTCATAAACAAATTTCAACAAGTTTAAAAGAATAAAATCAGACAGAATGTGTTCTCAAGCCACAATGGAATAAAACTAGAAATTAATAACAGAAAGACAAGCAAATCTCTAAACATGTGGAAATTAAACAATATTCTTCTCAGTAATCCATTGGTCAAAGAGAAAGTCTCAAAAAATTAAAAAAATACATTGAACTGAATGAAAATAAAAAATGACATAACAAAATATGTAGGATGCAGTAAAAGCAGTGCTGAGAAGAAAATTTATAGCACTAAATGCTTACATTATAGATGAAGAAAGGTCTCATATTAATAATCTTAGTTCCTACCTCAAGAAATTGGAAAAAGAAGGGTAAAATAAACCCAAAGGAAGAAGACAGAAGGAAATAATATAGAAAAGAGCATAAATTAATGAAACTGAAAACAGGAAAACAATATGGAAAATCCATGTAACAAAAAAGTAGTTCCTTGAGAAAATCAACAAAGTTGATAAATCTCTTTCTTGAAAGCTGACAAAAAATCCCCAATGTCAGGAATGTAATAGGGGATATCACTACAGATTCTACAGCCACTGAAAAAATGAAGGAGTACTATGAGTAACTTTATGCACATACACTTGATAACTTAGGAGAAATGGACCAAATACTGTAAAACTACAAGCTACCAAAACTCAACAAAGAAGAAATAGACAATCTGGGTAGCCCTATAACCTCTAAAGCAATTGAATTGATAGTTAAAATCTCCCCAAACAGAAATGTCCAGGCCAAATGGTTTCACTGGAAAAATCAACCAGACATTTAAATAAGAATATATCATTTTCACACAATTTCTCCTGGAAAATAGAGGAGAAAAAACTTTCTCAATCTTTTTATGAAGTCAGTATTACCCTGACACCAAAACCAGACAAAGACAATAAAATGAAGCAAAACAAAAACTACATACCAATATATATCATAAACTTAGACACAAAAATCCTCAACAAAATATTAGCAAATATTTTTGCTAGTCAATCAGTCAATATATGAGCAAGTAGGATTTATTCTAGGTATGCAAGGCTAGCTCAATGGTTAAACTCAATCAATATAATGCATTATACAATAAAGCTAAAGAAAAAAATATAACCATATAAATTGATGAAGAAATAGCATTTGACAAAATCCAACACCCATTTATGATTAAAAAAACTCTCAGCAACTTAGGAAAAGAGGTTTAACAGTTTAATTAGATAAATAGTATTTACAACAAACCTAACATCATACTTAATAGTGAAAGACTGAATGCTTTTCCCTAATATTAAGAACAACCAAGATGTATATTTTCATCACTCTTATTCAACATAGTATTGTAAGTTATATTAATAGTTGCTGCAATAAACCAAATAAAAGAAAAAAAAAGGCATGCAGTTTGGAAAGGTAAACATAAAATGGTCTCTATTTACAAATGACATGACTGTCTACAGAAAAATCCAAAGGAATCTACGAAGACACCCTTGAAACGAGTGAGTTCACTAGGGCTGCACGATATATGATCAATGTAAAAAATGAATCATTTCTTTATACTAACAATGATCATATGGAAATGAAAATTAGAAACAATATTATTTATAATAATTCCAAATAAAAATAAAACTTAAATATCCACTTAGAAAAACACACATAGTTTATGTGCATTGAGATTACAAAATGCAGATAAAAGAAATCAGAGAAGACCTAAATAAGTGAGGAGAAATACCGTGTTTATGAATTGGAAGACTCAACATAGTAAAGATGTCAATTCTTCCCAAATTGATCTACAGGTCTAATAAAATTCCTGTCAAAATCTCAGCCATTTTTTTTGGGGGGTAGATACGAACTTATTTTAAAATTTATATGGAAATGCACAGGACCTGGAATAACTAAAGCAATGCTGTCAAAGAAGAGTAAAACAAGATCAATCACTTTACCTGATATTAACGCCTACTATTGTAGCTCCAGTAATCAAGACTGTGGATTGGTGGAGGGATAGACATATAGAACATACAGACATATAGAACAGTGAACAGAATGGAGAATTCAGAACTAGACCCACACAAATATGCTCAATTGATTTGTTTTAAAGATGAAAAAGCATTTCAATGGAGGAAGAAGAGCCCTCAACAAGTGATGCTGGAAAAATTGAACATCTATAGGCAAAAAAGTGGACCTTAATCTATACTTCCTATCTTATGAAAATCACTTAAAAATGGACTGGAGACGGCTGGGGGCGGTGGCTCACGCCTGTAATCCCAGCACTTTGGGAAGCCGAGGTGGGCGGATCACGAGGTCAGGAGATACAGACCATCCTGGACAACACGGTGAAACTCCGTCTCTACTAAAAATACAAAAAATTAGCCAGGCGCGGTGGCGGGCGCCTGTAGTCCCAGCTACTCGGGAGGCTGAGGCAGGAGAATGGCGTGAACCCGGGAGGCAGAGCTGGTGGTGAGATTGCACCACTGCACTCCAGCCTGGGCGACAGAGTGAGACTCCGCCTCAAAAAATAAATAAATAAATAAATAAATTGGAGACATTTTTGGGATTTGGACTAAGCAAAGAGTTCTTAGTCTTGACATCAAAAGCAGAAGTTATAAAAGGAAAAAATGAGAAATTGGACTCCATCAAAAGTAAAAACTTACTCCATGAGAGCCCAGGTACTAAGGATGAAAAGACAAGCCATAGACTGGGAGAAAACGTTTGTAAACCACATATCTGACAAAGGACTAATATCTAAAATATATAAAGAAACCTTAAAACTCAACAGTAAAAAACCAAAACCTCAATTAGAAAATT